TGTCATTGTCTATCTATCTACTCTTTACCCTCTTATCCCACTGCCGTCATATCACAACTTCTCATTTCAAGGAGGTCAACCCACTTCTATAAGTCGAAAGGAGACTGCGACCATACCCGAGGCCACAACATCTTGGTCTTCACATCTTCTTTTAATTAAGGTTTTAGAAAGAGGTTGTATCATTGATACAACCACAAAAGTGTGAAACTATTAGCCTGTCATTACATGCAAATCATCCTCCAATTTATTCGAGTGACTCGAGCTTGCTCACAAGTTACGTTATCAACTAAGTTATTGCTGCTGTAGGTAGAAGGCTTTTTGGCCCATTTATTTCGCTAGCTGATCGTAAGTGTTTACATGATTATGTCCTTCGCTTTGAAGAAAAGAGAAATAGGGAAACCTGAACGGAAGTGATTACTTATTTGTTTTCACTATTTGGAAGTAGACATATTTTAAGGAGAGAAGGAGATAAAAAATGTGTATGCGGTGATGGAGAAATCCTGAAAGTGCAGACCTCCCAAGGACTAAACATGAATTTGACCACAGCTTTCCTTTTATTTATTCGCTTGTTCCAAGTTAATACTAGGGCAGTACCATTAACACGTTTCTAAGAAAACAGATCTTATCATATTTACGCCTCTAAGACCGAACACAAAATGACGAGATTAGAAATCGAGATAAAATAAGAACCTAAAAAGATGGAGTCATATGTTTTCAAAAATAGCTTATTGCAGGTAGCAAGAAATCACTTTGTTCTGCAGCCGCTGAACTATTTCGGCCTGTTTCTGCTGATCCTCCTGGTAGGCTTTTAGTTTGCGCCGGTACATGGCCGTCTCTTCTTCAAAACGCCGGCGCAGTTCGCTGGCAGATTCCGGCTCGGTTGATGGACTAATGGCGGGATCGAAGCCTCCACTGTCGAGTCCCGTCTCGCAAGGACAAAGCGAACCTTCAGGGCCGCCGCTGAAGGCCGTCGACATGTCGCCAGTCGCAGGTGTCTGCAAAATAAAGTCAGATAGCAATTGGAAGGGTTGAAGAATACGAGTACAGAGGGCTGATGAGGGTATGACTGAGGTCAAACTACAGGCAAGTGCTCAAAAGGGACCGTTCATGAGTAGAATTTGGTTCAGAGTTGAGTATGAAAGG